GGGTGCACATGAGTTGGGGGGAGGGGCAGAGGGAGAAGCAGACTCCCCACTGAGCAGGGAGCCTGATGCGGGGCTCGATCCCAAGACCCTGAGATCATGACCTGGGTGGAAGGCAGGCGCTTAACGACTGAGCCACCCAAGCGCCCCCATAGTGAAGTATTTAATAAACATCAGCTATTATTACCGGGATGGAGCTGGGTGTCACTATTTTCCATCAGCTAATGAGAATGGGCACCCAAAATGAAAGGTGGTTTGTTTGTGAGACAGTATTATTCAAAGAAGGGTCTCGAACTCTCCCAGTGTGTGTTGTAGCCACGAGGCTGCCTCCTCCCGTCACACCCACCTGGGTGGGGCTGCCCCCCGAGGTGCCTTTGCAGTGCATACGCCCTTGGGATAGGCCCCTTCTCCACAGGTTTGAGGGCCTAGACCTTGGGAAAGCTTAACACTGTTTCTCATTTGCCCCAGAGCCTGCATCACCACTTGGGAAAGCATTCAGCCAGCCCTGTTGAGCTGGGGCTGGCCTCCAGGCTCTAAAAACAATCACCACAACCATCACTATTTATTGAGCATCTACTCTGTCCCAGCTGCTGTTTCAAGTCATGGGGATAAGGTAGTGAATACAAAGTCTTGCCCCTGGGGAGCTGAGCCTCTAGTAGGGGTTAACAGACCAGAAGCAATAGCGTAAGTAAGGAAAACAGACGGTGTATCAGGGGCGTCAGCTATGGGAAAAAACAGAGCAGGGTGAAGGGGTCTGGAGCCCCTGCGGTAGAGGTGGGGCACGGCTTCACGTGAGTGCTCAGGGGAGGCCTCACCGAGAAGCTGACCTGTGAGCAAAGCCCCAAAGGAGATGAGAAGTGAGCCATGGGGCTCTCAGGGCAGGAGCACCGGATGGGGGCAGAAACACCAACAAGAGCACAGACATGAGGCGAAACCGCACCTTGACGGTGATGGAACCGGACAGAAGCCACTGTCACCTGTGGGCCCGACGCACCTGGATGGTGAGCTGTCTGGCCAGAATGGCCCCGATGGTGTCACAGAGGCTGGTCAGGAGGCAGCACGCAGCACACAGCACTGACTGGTCCCGTCCGCATCTCTTTGCACATCTCAGATAGAGAAGCCTGTGGTGACAGACAAGGGGCTTGGTGGGTATGGACAGAACACCAGAGCCATGAGGGGGTTCCCAGAGCAGGTGTCTGAAAAGGGCAATTGTGACTTTGTGTCCCTGTGAAGCACTCTCTCCCCCCAGGGATTCGGCGGGTATTTTTGAACTTGGTTTACAGATGGGAAAATCAAGGATCAAAGACCGCAGCACGAGCCCACGGCACGAGCCAGACCTGCCTCTCTAATGAAGAGGAATTTCTTCCCTCCCACAAATCAGGCCAACTCAAGTTCATGACCTACTACTCAGTGCTGGCAAACTAGCTGTCAGGTTTGATTATTGAAAGGAAACGTGCGGGTTATAAAAATAATTGCCTAAATGAAAAAGGCAACTTGATTCTTTCAAATTCACGTGAAATCCTTCAAAGCCGTACGTGCAGGGGGGTGGCCTGGCTTCCACCAGCCCTTGCCCAGATTAAGCATGTTCTTTACACACACACAGCGAGCAAGACTTCTCAAAGATGCCATGGCACTTTGGGCTGACCTCTCCCTACAGGCCCCTGGGGAGGGGCCTGACTTCCCTCCCTCATTCCCCTTCTCCTGCCCTGCCCCACTCCCCTGGAACAAGCACAGAAAGGCACAACAGCCTGGAAGGGCTCAGAGATCTCTTAGAAACACTTTGTTCTAGATGTTTCCGTGCTACATTTTATGGAGAAACTGAGGCACCGTTGCAGCCCTTGTTTCATTTTCTTCAACCACAAGGTGGTACTCACTCCATGTCGTCGTTAGGACTGTTTGGCTGGTTCTGAGGGCCCGCCCTGGGGCACAATGGAGGAGGAGGGAAGGCTGCTGGGTTCCCACATTTCCTGATCTGCCAGACGAAGCCCCAAGCTCACAGTGAGAACAGAAACCTTTCATTTGGGCCCTGGGCCTCCTGACACCAATTCAAAGCCTAACAGCGAAGACTCTAGAGACTCTCTCGACTCAGATTAGAAATAGTTGATTTCAACCCTCACACTGGAGAGCCGAGAAAAGTGAGGCCTATGGTGACTAGGTGAGTTCATGGCAGACCCTCTGGCTTTGCATGTGGAGGCTTTGCTCCCCAGCCCTCAGGGGAGGGGGATCCTGGGCTGACCCTACCCCAGGCCACACACAGCTTGGAGGACATACATTCCCTGAAGACAAGGTGGGGAGGGGCTCAAGGAGGGCAATGTCCTGAAAACAATGGGTGTGCAGACCTGAGGTGGGCTGAAAAAGCAGAGCCTCTGCCCTCGGACTGACCAGCTGGGCATTCTCGGGGGACTTACCCAACCTCTCCCAACTCGAGTTTCCAGGTCAGGAAATGCCTAATAACGCACGGAGAGTGCCTCCTTAGTGTCCACTGGACAGTTTAGTCCTCACAAGTCTGCCCCTTTCTATAAGGGTCTGGGGGTTCAGTTCTTTCCATTCACTCAGGCAAGTTAGTTCACCTGTCAGAACCTCCAGCTTCCTCATGAGTTCATGGGAGTAGTAACAGTCCCTCCCTCATGGGGCTGTGGCAGGGATGAAATGAGTTAATAAATGCAACACTGGGCCCACAGTAAATGTTCTAAGGGTCTTTTTATTTGCATTCCAGTGACTGAGTACGGGGGCTGCCAAATGTCTGCAGCAATATCACACGAGGGAGTGCAATGTCCACGGAGTGCCTACGATGAGCCAGTGCCAGCCGCCCCCCCCCTCCCCGGGTTGCTGGTCCTTTCTCCTCTGGCGGGGAATACTTGCGTTGTACCAGCTTGGGACAGGGGTGGCCGAAGACCTGGAGGCCGTCTTTAACCAGGCTTCAGCCAGCTTAGGACCCAGGTGACGGTGACCACTGTGGCCAGAGTCGGATCATCGCCAGTCCCCATGGCTGATCAGAGGGCCTTGGGTAAAGGGAGGCCAGAAACACCGAGAGCCTTGTCCTAGGTCCTTGCCCTCTGCCAGATGGTGGTGGTGGCGCGGGAACAATAATAAGGATGTTTAATGAGCACACACTAAGAGCTTTACAGGGACTAACTCAGTTAATCCTGCCATCCGACCCATGAGTTACCATCCCCATCTAGGTGAGGAAAATGAGGCTCAGAGGTTTTAAGCTTGCCCAGCTCACACCGCCAGTCGGCGGGGAAGGGCTGACAATAGACCCCAGGCAGGACTGGCGGCTGCCGTCCCCGGCCCCACGCCACTGCACCACCCGGCCTCCTCCTGCTGGCCCCCAGCCAGCCTCCCGTGCGCGGAATCCGGAAAGAAGTCCCGACTTCAGTCCGCAGCCGAAGGCTCCTTTCGATCGCGGAGCTGCGCTGCCTCCTGCCTCCTCCCTCTCTGCCCCCTTCCTCCCAGGTTTCCAGGAGGGAGTTGGCGGCGGGGGTGTGGGGCTAGCCCCGCGCCCCCCGCGGCCGATCCGGCCCCCACCCCGCGCCGCCCGGTCCCGACCCCATTACAGCGTGTGGGCGGCGATCCAGCAGGAGGAGGCGCAGATCCACAGGCCGAAGGAGATGCAGACGCGGTGGCGGGCGAAGCAGCGGTCCAGGTAGTCCCAGTCCCAGAGCGCGGGCGCGGGCGCGGGGCTGGCAGCCTCCCCCATGGCTCTCCGGCTCCGCCCGGCCCGGGCCC